CAATCAGCTCAAAGATGGCGGTAAGGTTGTCAGCCTTACGCACTGGCCGCGCTTCACTCCCCAGGAAAATTATTTAATTAATTCCTGGTACTCATTTCTGTTAGAGGCTGAGTAAACCCCAGGGCCTAGTACAGCCAGAAGGATTAGGTCAATTGAAAAAAATCTAATGACCTCATCGGGACTTGAACCTGCGACCTTCCGGCTTCTAGCATAGTACCTTAACCACTACGACACAAATAAATCTAAAATATGATATTTAACATTTCTACTTTCAAGAATTGAGACAGAATTCATTTTTTACTGTGTCACTGAGACTTAACTTCCAGGTTTTATAACTATAGATACAGATTATAGTGTTCTTAGGAAATTATCCTTTGTGGTAAATCTTGATCTGAGTACTGACACACACTTTCCTATAAAAGAAAAACAGAAAAGAAATACTTCTACTTATATATATTTATTTTGCATGATATAATTCACAAGCCAAAGTAAGAAATATGTAGGACAGAACATCCAGGATTAAAGAATAAACAAGATTACAAATAGAAAAAAATTTTATTGGTCATACAGAAAAGTAGGTGAATAATGAGGCAGAATGTGCAGTGTAACAAAGTTAAAAAAAATGTTATCATGTGTAACGATTATTATCTTATCAACTGTAATACCATTTTTATCTTCTGTTGGTCTTGCTGTAAATTTCCAATTAGAAAGGCACAATATTTTACAACACACATTGTACATACTTTATAACTATAATCATGTAATTAAATACATACTTTTTTTTTTCTTTGGCACTACAGCCCCAGTGGGCCTAGGCCTACCTCCATGAACTCTGTTCACTTCAGTTTTTCTAGATCTTACACATACGGTAGGACTCCTTGGGCGGGTGATCAGCTCGTCGCAAGGCCTCTACCTGTATACAAACACAGAAAAACGCACACAAACATCCATGCCCTGAGTGGGATTCAAACCCACGATCCCGGCTTCCGAGCGAGCGAAGACAGTGCATGCCTTAGACCGCTCGGCTACCGTGACCGGCAAATATATACTTAATATCTCTGTAAAGTACTATTTTCCTTTGCAATTATGAGTACTTAGTATCATACAGTACCTAACTCTCTTGACAAACTCTGTAAGTACAACATGTCATTTGTGTTACTACAAAAACAAGATACTATATGTATCACTCTTTGGAGAGGTGGTATCTGTTACACACAATATGCCTTGTGCAATACTGTTAAGAGTACATTTTATTATTTCCTTGATCTGTTTTAGTCAAAAAGAAAAAAAGCAGCTTAAGTGAACAAGAAGACCTACATGCCTGATGCATGAATATAATGACAGAAACATGATAATATATACGGGATCAGGGGTTCTCAGAGTAATGAATAGTAAAGTTATGCTTTTCTGGGATGTCATGTCATTAGTATGGCACAGAGATACCAATGTCTTAGAGGAATCTGCTGCCACCATCTTCAGGGTACAGGAAGTCCTCCTCCTATTCAAAAGACTAAACAGCATCACTTACTGAAGTTAGCAAACTCAGTGACAGTCACTGATAACTTAAATGTGAGTGTAAAGTAAAAGTAAAAAAGTAAAGGTATCCTGCAACAGGCCATGGAGGCCCATAGGGTTGTGAGATGTTGAGGTTCCCACATTATCTAGACAATCGGCTCATGGATGGTGATAAGGTTGTCAGCCTAACGCGCCAGCCGCCCATTACCCCCAAGAACATTCCAAGAATATTCCTGGTACTCATTTCTGTTAGAGGCTGAGTTGACCCCAGGGTCATAGTGCGGCTGAAAGGATTAGGTAAATTGAAAAAAAAATCCAATTACCTCATTGGGATTCGATTCCGCAACCTTCTGGCTTGTAGCATAGTGCCTCAACCAACTACGCTACTTTGTGCCCCCTAACTGTGAGCATCAATATATTATTTAAATTTGTTTGCATCTTTAGTCAGTATTAAATCACCTGCACTCATGGTGAAAAATTTAACATTTATTTACTGCAAATCTTTCTTTCTGACTAGGAATTCCAAGAAATCTGACTATGTTTCCCTTTATATGGCATTTAAAACTGCAAAACATGGTAACTAACAATGCTACAGAGCAACAGTTTCTTTAAAGTTGTTAAATAAATATTAATTTAAATGCTTGACATTTTGTTAACTCCCTACTTCCCCTCCTTCCAATTTCATTACATTGCCTGGACTTGTGAAGTTTCACCATTCATAACCTAAGCCTCACCAGATGAATAGCTCAGCTAGGGATGCTCAGTACCATCATATTAACATGGCCTATGAAGGTAATATGTTATTTCAGAGGAATTTTGCAGAAATTGAGAACACACTGAAAAACAAAAGAATGAATTGGTTAATTGCATTACAAATGATACAAGCCTTCACGTTAAGTCCAGTAATGTTACTCAAATAACATACCTTACACTTAGGCACAAAAATTCCAAGTAATAAATAAACCTTATCATGGTAATAAATCCTGGTATTCATTTCTGTTAAGAGGCTGAGTAAACCCCAGGGCCTAGTGCAGCTGGGTTAGGTCAATTGAAAAAATCGAATGACCTCATCGGGATTTGAACCCGCGACCTTCTGGCTTGTAGCATAGCCCCTCAACTTCCTGGGGAGTAAAGCGCGGCCGGCACGTAAGGCTGACAACCTTACCCCCATCTTTGAGCTGATTGTCTAGATAATGTGGGACTGTCAACATCTCACAACCCTATGGGCCTTCAGGGCCTGGTACAGGGATAGCTTTACTTTTTTTTACTTTATGGTAATAAATTGCATTATGTGTAGTTTTGTGCACGTGTGACTAAACAGAAATCCTTGTTTGATGAAGGCGTGCATGTGTTGCTGCATTCTGAACTGCAGAATTAGACTAAAGCATGAAGTGGAGCGTTCATATCTTGGTGGAGCAGATTCTTGTCCCGAAGGCGAGCCTGCAGCAAGCTGTGTTCCAACACACCCACTCTCACGTCCATTGCAGTAATCTCACTCTTAATTTGTGAAATTGCCTTTTTTATGTTAACAAGTGGAGCTGTAACAAATACCAAAAAAACAGACCAGACTCAAAACACATATACACTGCAGAAAACACATTTTAAAATTTTACAAATATGTTCTTCATATGTAAGATTTGAGGCTTTCACGGCAGTGACTATGAAGAAAGCAGTCTTTTGGGATTTGGCACCGTGTATATGTGGTGTTAATCGACATTTGGGAGGAACGACTGGTCTGCTTTTACCAGTTCTCACGGTCTCTTCGCTTGCAGATTTCTTATATTTTTCTTCTACCCTGAAGATGGAGGCGATACGTTCCTCCAAAACGTCGGTTAACACCACATATACACGGTGCCAGATCCCAGAAGACTGCTTTCTTCATGTTCTTCACAATTTTACATACTGTGCCTGACCAAATAAGAAACAATATTATCTACAGATGGCAGAATTTATACAATGTAAGTATGTGGCTATACTAAGTTCTTCCCATGGCAAAAGCAATGAACTAGTAAACCCGTTTAACACATTCATGCCACGGTGGCAACTTACAATGAAATTTTTAATGTTTTTTAATTGAACACTCAGTCACTGAAGAAAATAATAACTGAACACTGTGCTAATAGGGCTGCGATTAGATAAATTATTAAACATTACTGAAAGAATACTTGGGGGCCAAAGGCTGGTAAATGGCTCTGGTGGTCTGCACTGATGCCAGTAGGTGCACACCATTAGGTACCAGAATGTCACCTGTTAAGTTGGGTTCTGCCGGCAAATCCAAGCTCCCCCACCACATGGTGACCCCGGGGCAACACATTTTGGGATGAGAGCAGAGATGTGGTGGATGAAGCAGGGTGAAAGTCAAGGGTCCAGTGCCTTCAAATGCGACTCTCTGGCTAGGGGAAGGAAAAACCCTATAGAAAAATCGAGGGTAGGGGGGACTCTTTAGGCATGGTGAAGCCAACATCCTAACAGGGTACACCCTGACAAAAAATCATTGGTACTCGGAAAGAGCCCTCAGTGTCCATTAGACAGAAGGTTGGGTGAGATCCAGAGCTGGTCTTGATGGTGTAAAGAGAAAATTCCCATGCTCCTGCCAGACTGAACCTCAGTTCCATGGCAATCCAACTTTGTGAAGCCGCAGAGTGCTGCAGCAGTTTTCTTTGAGTTTCTTCAGTTTTCTCCTGCTAATAATTATTTCATAATGGTTCAACACTTACCTCTAACGATCCCCCCCCCCAATCTTCAGGCTACCCTGAAGACAGAGGCTGTATGTTCTTGTGAAATGCTGTTATCACCACATGAGCCTGTCCCTCGTATTAAAAACACTGTATGCCCGACACACATCATAAGTCAGAGACTGAAACCATAACCTGTACCAAACATAAGGCTCTGGGAATGTTCCAGCTTTGAAGTTTTCATTATAATGTTGAGAGTTTTCGCTTAGTGGGGAGTGGAGTCCAACTGGGTCCACTTGGGACGGCGGCCACTGATTGGCCTATTGTAACCTGCCCCGGGTGATTAAGATGGAAAATTTGGTGAAATGAAGATTGGCAAGGTAAAACCGAAGTACTTGGAGAAAACCTGCCCCACCGCCATTTTGTCCACTACAAATCCCACTTGACCAGAACCGGGATCGAACCTAGGTCACTGGTGTGGATGTTGAGAGTTAATCATCTATCGAAGAAATTTCACCTGCACAGAACCTGTTGCTCCATTACCATATTCACTAAATCCTACCCTTCTAAGCTAATTTAATCCAGTTCACACCTTCACACCCTATTTCTCTAGCATCCATTTTAATATCATCCTCTCATCTATTATACATCTTGCAAACAGTCCCTTCCTCCAAGATACTAAAACCAAAATGCTGTATGAATTTATCTTTTGCTTGTGAGCACCGAGCCACCTTGTCATTTTTAATTTTTGAATCCTAATATGTTAGGTAAAGAACATAAATTATGAAGCTTCTCATTAACTGTGACACATACACCCATTGCTAGGTAATGCCCACAATACACGCACACACAAAAATAGAACGGGTGCTGCAAGAGGTGTTTTCTATGTGGGGCCACACCATACAAATGGCTAAGCAATAACTTAGTAAATGCATTCCAGCAAATAAGCAATAATAGAGGACATCCATTGCTAGGCAATGGATGTTTTCTGTGCTGTGGTCTGACCCGAGGCTATATAACCAGAAACCCAGGCTGGCTAGAGAGAGCAGTAGATCAGAATTCAGGGAGACGGCAGATGAAGGGGATAAACTGTGCCAAGAAGTCTTTACATGTGATGTAGTTACTGTGATATCTGGAGTGTGTAACGCATCGAGACTGTCATAATTATTTGCAGTTACAGCCTGTAGGTGGTCAATAAATCTATTCACCAATACAAACCCCGTCTATAGTCACTAATACATGTGGCAATATTCTCCACCCTCCTTATTTTTCCTAAAAGGGGAACCCAGGATTCAGTTAACTGATATAAATAATTAAAAATAAATATGCACACTGTGTTATTAAAAGCAGGTGCAGAACATTACAAGCAGCTGGAACTGACAAGATAAAGAAATGTAAACACAGCTCCTTTATCATAATGTAGTACTTTATCCAAGTATGGAACATTNATATCTGACCAACAACTTTGGAGGCCCTTAACATTCACAATTTAACAGTGCTTTCTGAATTACATATATCATATAGCATCAAGGAGTGAGGCATTTTTAAATTATGAATTGCCACTTCTATAGCAGGAAGTAGCAATCGATTGCAAGATACTATCCCAGCCTAGGGCTACAGAAAATCTCATACAAAAAACATGCCAGTCTAGCCATCCTTAGGCCAAGGACCGAAACCAGTAACTATAAAATACAAAGTTTCATTCTGCAATGACATAATCCACACTTATGGTAAAGCATGAATTTTTTTAAACTATAGTAGATTCATGGGCCATGGAGTAGCGTAGTTGGTTGAGGCACTATGGTATAAGCCAGAAGCTCGTGGGTTCAATTCCTGATTAGGTCACTGGATTTTACAATTGACCTAATCCTTCCAGCTGCATTATGGTCCTGGGATCAACTCAGCCTCCTATAGAAATGAGTACTTGGAATCTTCCTGGGGTTAAAGGGTGGCTGACACATAAGGGTGACAGCCTCATCACCCATCTGTAAGATGATTGTCTAGAAAATGTGGGAGCCTTGATGTCTCACAACCCTATGGGCCTTCACGGCCTGTTACAGGGGTAGCTTTGCCTTTATATAAGTTTACAGAGACATACAATAACAATTCTGGAACAGTTGCTCCCTCATTAATCATGTATCAATTATGTACTCAAAAACCACAAGACCTACAGAAAATTTATATTTGATATGAAATATGTTTACTTATATCTGTGTCGGTCCAGAATATTTATTACTGCAACAAATATTTAACAAAGTTATGTATGCAAAGACATATATGACTGCATGTAAACATTCAAGATTGTTGTCTGATTTTAAGGATAATTATAAGGTTCCAACAAACTGAAGAAAAACTGGCTGATACCACATTTCTACAGGAATCTGTTCACTGGTTCTTTAGCTGTTACACATGGATAGAGAGACAGACAGGTGCATCTATGCAACTTCTTGATATGATTGTAACAAGAACTGGCTATATGCACACCTCTATTATACTGTCACTTGCATGCTTGTTATAATATTATATAAGAGTGCTGACATTGCATTTAAGCATATCATATCATTAATTCTTAGTTCTGTTCATTGTTTACTGAAATTTCCACATGATTATCATGTGAATGAATAATCTATATTGTTGAACTGTGGCCTACTGTTAACATTAGATGAGCTAAAACACACTATTTGTCTTTTGTCTATGTACAAATAATGTGTGTTCAAGAGTCAGGGTATAGAATCATTTCACTCTTAATGTACAGGATGATTCTAAATTGTTGTCGGGGTTTCCATGACCTATAATTTTCAAATAAAAAAAATAAAATAAAATAAAACTGCTTAAGGAAAATGAAAGTGTAACTCAAGAAGTTTTATTATTTGTAGAATCAACACTGCAGAATGCTAAACAACTTCAACATGCGCGCCTTTCTTGGCACGTAACATGTCCAAGAGGTATTCAGTTTTCCTCCAACTGTTCTCCAGCATTCAAGGTGTAACTGTTTCGACTGTAACAACAATTCTATGCTTCAGTTCTTCGAAGGAGGCCACAGAGGTCAAAGAATGTCCTTAACATACCCCCACAAGAAAAAAATCAAACAGCATAATATCAGATGAGTATGTAGGCCATGGAAATCCCGCCACACGACAGTGCAGAAATAATATCTTTATGCGACTTACTTCCATCAGTCATGCTGGAACCCCTCTCGTCCATCTCCTGTTTCACAGATTCCAGCTCCTCAGTTACCTGAGCCAATATACGTGACCTCTCTGTAACACCACCACTCACTTCCCGGTACTGCTCATTTATACGTGCAAATTCATCCTGTATATAGCAAACAAAGCCGACCATATCTTATTGTGCTGTGACATGTAGATCAATTGCCAAGTACCAACTGTGTAAACAGACAACAGTACAACATCCACTGCTAGGGTACAGCTCTGTGGACATGTCGTTTACCTGGTCATGACAGAACACACAATAATCGAAAAGGTGTTTTTTGTGTGGTCTGTAAATTGATTATTGCTGACCTGTAGAGCTCTGTACTGATCTAACAAAGGCTCCAGTTGACTGTTCAAGAACTTTTCTCGGCTGCTTATCTTCTCAAGTGTGAGTTCGATATCTGAATGGAGTTTGTCAAGTTGGCCTTTGGCTGTGGCCAAAGCTTCATCAATTCCACTGCGATGTCTCTGCATCTGTTCCAGATGTGTTCGCCAATCCTGAGCATCTGTAACATGAGCAATACAACACAATTAAAATTAAATCTAAAAATGAACTGTGTTCATGTCATACAAAATGCCCAATATAGCACTGTACAAATGGATTAGCTTGAGCCTTGAAGAACAGGGAAGTACAGTTTTTCAGAATTTCCTTCCTGCATACATGAACTTAAGATATATTACAAGAATAAGGAAAGAGAATGAATATTCTACATGTATAAATTCACATGAGTTTGTATCTCATAAATTTTTAAGATATTTTCAAATACTCGTAGAATTAAAATCTGTAGTTTCACTATAATTTGTCAAAGGACCCACATGTATGAGTTACTTTAGGAGTTTATAAAAATAAAATGGTGCAAAGACACAGCACATACTTTCTCATAAATGAATGACCTTAACTAGTCATCTTGAAAATAAAACTGATCCATTTTAATTTTATTCTCACACCTATTCCCACGTCTCCCATGTGGTCTCTTCCTTGGAGATTTTCTAATTAACATTTTGATGTATTTCTGATTTCTCATATATGTGAAGTATACTTCCTATCTCATCACTGCCGATTTGTTCACCTAATATTTTGAAATGAGTAGAAATTACAAAATTTCTAATTGCACTTGTACCTTAAGGAACAATATTAAATTTATGACTTAGCTGTGGTGTGATCACAGGCAGAGCACTATCTAAGAAATAACTCTGTACCAGTTTTAATGGTGACTTTAAGCTGTGGTAAGACCCTTTCCAGTTCCAACTTCCATCCATCAATGTTTGTAGTGGACTCAAGGATGTCATCAGGCTTCTGAGAATCTGTAAAAGTCTGTGTGCAAATAAAATATCTTAATATTAATAGGAAGGCTTACAATGATTTTTAAGCGACATATTGTATTAAATATTCCAGTAAATGTGACCATTAGTACCTTATTCCCAATGCGCAAGTTCTGTAGATCATCTATATGCAAAAGTGTCTCCTCTTCCTCATCAGAGACCTCTGCAGCCATCTCTTCTTCCACCTTTTCAAGCAGCAATTCCGATTCATCTTCCATTTCATCATCTTCTTCCTCTACCTCCACAACTAATTCAGGTCTAACAAAGGCACAACAAAAATAATCATGAATGATTTGAGGTTCTCACAGCAGTGGTTATGGAAAGTTACATCTTCTGGAATATAACGATATGTAGTCTGTTCAAAGTCAACTGACATTTTGGTCGAACATGTTGCCCCCAACTTCAGGGTTGAAGAGTAAGTTGAGCAAGTAACCAGAATGAAGTATTCGGCAAGCATAGATTTTTCATCAGAAATGTCAGCTGACTTCCAATTCCAATGTCAAAAGCTAGTCAGGATACCAATTTTGATTTAACTCTTATCATATACTACATTAAATAATTTTGAAATAATTTCCTTCACATATGCAGATTAGACATTAATGATACGATTCTTGATCAAACTGATACACATATCCTCTGAAGGAGAAAAACATTTGAATGTGAAAATTGTAAATCAGAATACTACAGATCAGAGATCAGATCATGAAATCGCCATTTCTTTCTAGACATACAAGAATACAAAGGAGACACCTGACAGACCTCATTATCATAATGAGGAGCTTCATAACTTGTACTCTTCTCCAAGTATAATTAGAATGATCAAGTCAAGGAGGATGAGGTGGGCAGGGCATGTAGCATGAATGGGGGAGAAGACGAATGCATATAGGATATTGGTGGGAAAGCCAGAAGGAAAGAGCCCACCGGGAAGGCCAAGGCATATGTGGGTGGACAATATTAAAATGGATCTTAAGAGAGATAGGATGGGATTGTATAGATTGGATTGATCTGGCTCAGGATAGGGACCAGCGGTGGGCTCTTGTGAACAAGGTAATAAACCTTCAGGTTCCATAAAATGCTGGGAAATTCTTGAGTAGCTACAGATTTGGCTTCTCCTCAAGAAGGGCTCAGCTCCATAAGTAAGTAAGTAATGAATCAAGAACAATATGAGCTTTTGCTTTCACTTTCACTTTATTTTAAATTCCATAGACCCTTTTCAGGTCCCGCATGCCATAGGATATAGAACATGTCAAAATATATAAACACATACATAAAAACAATGAACCCATCAACATGCAATACAATCACAATACAAAATTTGTACATAAAATATTCAAATATGATCAAATTTATGCAGATATATGATTATCGTTACCACCATCATAAATCAATACAAAATACCTATTCATAATATAGAAGTTTGATGCAATTATTTCGATCACATAACTACAAATACTTAATTTAATTACACAAAACTGACATCAGCAGAAATTAATTTCATGGGGCGGATTGTGTGATATATCTTTTCAGAACGTAAAAGAAATTAAGAAATAATCAGAAAGCTTCACTCCACAGGCATAAGATTCTAGAAGAATGTGGAAAGTACAAGTTCTGACAAGATTCCAAAAAAGATCTCAGTATATTAATACATTTATAAAAATTTTGGAAGAGTTTTCAGATAACATAAGGTAACATGTCTCAGTAGGTCTAACTCAAAGAAGGCTTAGATGCTATATGAAACAATACAGCAAATATGAGGCCAATGTCAATTAGAATGAAATTCTACTACATTTTTTAAACATATTATCAAACTTCTTAACTTACTTTTTCCACATAAAATTGGTACTTTTCAATGCAGCATCTGCCAAATGATCCAGTACAAAAAGAGCATGTTCTCCAAAACCTTGCTTCAATTTATTTGGTGGGAAATCCACACTTACACCCTGCAATAGATAATAAGGCAATGCAACAATAATGATCGCAGCCATCAAGTACAGTCAGTGTTCCTGTTCCAGCACATAGAAATGTAGAAAAACAAGAATAAACAGCAAAAGATATTGTGTGAAACGGTTAATCATACTAATAGAAGATGTGAGGAGTATGATTATCAGGATTCACCGTGTAGTTCGGCAAGAGCCCAACATTTCGGGGGAAATTCTGCCTCCAACTTCAGGGACGAAAAGTACACCTAGCAAGAAACCATCAGAAGTAGGAGACAAGCTGGGCTCACCGCCTGCTTCTGCTCGTTTTTTCCTTAGCTTACATTTCGTGACTAAAGATGGAGGCAATATTCCTTAGAAGTGTCAAGCTCTCTTTGAACTACACAGAATTATAATACTCTTTGTAGCTAATGCTCAGATCCAACATATACAAATATTTTCAAAACAAAAGACAGACACTTCTGTATCAAATATACACTTACAAGTTGTCTAAGTGAATCCAGAATACTAGAGATTGTGGAGTTAGGGTCATCATATTCTTGTGGCTGTTCAAATGGTCTCCCTGTCTTTCTGATTAACCAAGCTGCCAAAGAAGTGAATAAGTAGAACTGCTCCCCAGGATTCGTTTGGAGTGCAAAGTAATGTCTGAAGAACAAGGCAAAATTCATACACTGATTACATATACATTTCAGTTCAATGGTTTATTAAGCATGGCAGTTAACTGAACAAAAAATAGTTACATTAAGTTCAAAATAGAGACCCAGAACATTACCGTCTAATGTGTTACCTGAATTTACCCACTTGGCATTTTACCATATGATGTAGTAAAACAAAGTTCCTTGTGCCAAATTAAATGTGCCTTGTTTTGTGGGTCATCCTCTGGTGTTGACAGTATTTACACTATATAGCACCGAATGGTAGATTGATGGACGAACAAGGAACAGGTCATCAGACCTGAAGGAAATGTTTACCACCACTAGCAGTACTAGTTGACATTAGCAGCAATAGCTGGTGTGTCACTTGGTTTAAGTCCCATATATAACTTATGAGGGGGCACATAGTAGCATAGTTGGTTGAGGCACTATGCTACAAACTGGAAGGTCACGGGTTCAAGTCCCGATGAGGTCAATGGATTTTTTTTTCAATTTACCTAATCCTTCTAGCCACACTATGGCCCTGGGGTCAACTCAGCCTCTAACAGAAATGAGTACTAGGAATATTCTTGGGAGTAAAGGGCAGCAGGCATGTAAGGCTGACAACCTTACCGCCATCTATGAGCTGATTGTCTAGAAAATGTGAGAACCTAAACATCTCACAACCTTATGGGCCTCCATGACCTGTTACAGGGATATCTTTACTTTACTTTATAACTTATTTAAGTTTTAAACTACTTTACCTATTTAATGGCTTCATCTTGAGAGTTTTAACGAATTCCTGATCGTACCTAAGGAGTTTTAATTTATCCAACAGCTCTTCCATAACAACAAACGTCATATAAGCAGCACCCGGACCACCATCTGCTTGCTCTGATGTATGTAATCCTTCACGTGATTGCTGTTCTTCTCGTGACATAATTCAGGCATGTCACTACCCTGGAATTATAAAAAAAAAGTAATCAAATAATATATCTGTTAACACAGAGGCCCACAATATATTCAATCTTTTCCTTCTCGCTCAAATTTTACTTTTTACTAGTTTGACATTTTGAAAACCACAGGGGCTATTTAGTTTTGAATAACTGGATGATTACATATAATCAACTGGAAGGGCGAATTACGTGCTAGAACCCCACCGTCTATATGAAGATTTGGGAAAACTGAAAACCTGTCACGACAGATGTTGTAGCGCCTAAATTTGGACAGGGTACAATATTATATTTAAGCATCCTGTTGCACTCCATACGATAAATGATATAATGATAAAAACTCCGTCTCAAGTGCAAACAATATATTTTGTGTCTTTGATCTTGTTCCCCTACACTACAAACCAGACAGTTATCAACGAAGTAGAAGTTGATAATAAGAAGGAAAGTGCTTTTAAATGTTAAATTCTGAGCTGGGTGCAGTGTGACAGCGACATGAGTGTTATACACCTGATGATGGCCGTCTGAGGCCGAAACATGTAGTGTAGGGGAACAAGATCAAAGACACAAAATATATTGTTTGCACTTGAGACGGGAGTTTTTATCATTATATCATTGGAAAGGGTAACCGCCAAATACAAATTATGTATATTACTACTTGAGGCACACTGATAAATTCTGGTGTGAGGCTTCAAATGATGGAATAGGGGCACATAGCCGCATTTTTATGAAGAATGCTGAGCCTTTCCAACATAACCAAAAGAACTTGCAGTGTGAAATACGTCAAAGCCTCTAAACGGTCCGTGATGTCCAAGACAACACTCAAGATACCTTCTAGTCACATATCACTACATATACACATATTACCTCCGTATTTTATACGAATTTATCTCTTCAACCATTAACCTTACGAAGTTAGAGAAAGAAGCACAAATTTAACATCAAATATCCGCATCACAATGAATAAAATCGGAAAGAATGTTGCACTTGGAAAATACTTGCCTCCTCTCTTATTATGCTGCTAACTTTACAAAGTTGAAAGTTTTGTATTTAATAACGGAAAAACTATAACTAGCGACTTTTCTAACCTCAGAAATAGCTACACAGTATTAACGAACTAAACTATCTATACTACCTATGTTTCACTTAAACCAACTCGGCTCGATTCAGAGATCAAATGCATTGATATATGACGTCGCTCTATATTATACAATTATCACACGCCCTTAAAAATTCAATGTGCCATTCTTCATTTATTATACCACTAATTTAAAATAATTATTACTTACGTAGATACAACAATGCTAGCTTACAACACAAACGCAAGCGCGGTGGCGCGGAGATTGCATTCCATGTTTACGTCAATGCTTCGTGCTTCTTCGGCTGTTTCCGACAAGGGTTCTAAGCAACCGGTGCGCGCGATCCAGTAATGATAGTATACCATACCACCATACCCTAACCGCCCTAACCAATCCCTGAACTGATCCTCTTGCCTGATATGCCAATGAATGAGAGATACCAGTTTTCTAAGTCATGACGCCGTGTACTTATGAGGAAGCTTGACGTTTCGATGGAACATGTCGTCTTCATCTTCAGGACAGAGGCAACTAGCTGTGTGAACTCCAAATCAAATAAAGAAATGTATATTTCCATGTCATATTCTCCATATTGGCCAGCCTGAGAGAAATAAGTATGGCGCTGTTTGATGGTGTGGTCTGAATGGTGTGAACCATTATCATTAAATTTTAAATTCTAACAGTGATAATTCCCACGAAAAACAGTTACAAGATATTGTCACGCGACAAATAACTTCAAGTGGGTCTCGGATTTATCGAATCTTTATTGTGCTTCAATTATACACTCACACGCTTTACAATTATTATCATTTGCAGTATCACAATTACTGCTTCCATTATATCTCGGCCAATACTAGACTGCTTTCGGCGGCGGCATTCTGAAGACTGTCTTCTTGCCTTCTTCTTCTATATCGTATAGCGTCTAGATTCCACCTGTCTTTGACCGTGGCTGGATCCCAACGATCCCAACTGTTTCCAGCGGCGGCTATCCCAAGGATCCCAAGAATCCCAAGACTATCTCGGCGAATGCATTACCTTGTTATATATCCGCGGCCGTTGCTACGCAGTGAACCTTCTGTTGTCCATCACGGGGAAAACGGTGGTTCGTTGATTCTGCAGTTCCTACGCAACGGCCCACTGTTGGAATTACAATACCACTCTTGTTACTTCCTATGCAACGGTCTGTTCTAGCGTTTCCATGGAAGTAACCTTTCAGGATTCCAAACATGTGTCAGTATAAAAATAAAGTACGGCATTACTAATATATAAATTTATATTTCGACACCTCCAATCGACATGGTGCCCGATCCTTATCTATTTACCTTTTCCTTAATAGATACAGGAGCAGTTCTTTTCTTGTTGGTTTATTTCGTATCCTTTTTAATTTGTACGAAAATAGTTATGTTAAAGTGGTGTTTTTCCATATAGAAGTTAGATGTGTATGTATTAATCAAAGTACTGAAGCTGTGAAATAATTGGTCCTAAGTGAGTTTGAGAATAGGTGTTCTCTGAAGCTTGTGTAAGTCGTGTTTTTAAATGTCGCAGGAGCTATGTTCCCTTATATCACAATGGACTTACTAACACAGACTATGACTGACAAATGACAGACCCGACCTCTCGTCAGAGAGGGTGCCCCAAATGAACAAGACAGTAACTTTCATATAAAGAAAAAAAATCTGGTCATGGGGCTCGACACCAAGACAGACAGACTGACTGACCATCAGTCGCAATGTGACTTTGACTTTGACTTGTTCCCTTGCAGAATATCAGAATTAATAGTTCCACTGTGTTTAGCTGTCAGAACATTATTTATCAATTGTTTCTTATTTCAACTCATTTTATTCTCAACCTAGTAGCTTTCTCTAATGCCTATCAAATGTAAAGTATTTAGTGTTTATGATATTGAACTTCTGTGGGCAGATGTAGATCAGGTGGAACCATGCAACTGTTACATTCTGTGTGATCATGAACTTTACTTTGTATAGAATCTGTATAATATGAAATGTGGAATCTTCTGAATCATGTGTATTTCCCTAATTCCTGATTCAGGTGATAACTTTATCAGATTTAGAATGTGATTATCTGAATGCTCAACAGTGTTGCTCCAAACTGAATGCAGTAAGTATGGCAGATTGAAGCCGTTTCTTTTAACTTTTATAATTATGATATCATGGTGTGTCTGTGGGCTCCATAACTACAAGGAATAACATGATTTCCTGAATATATATAAACTACTCAAGGAAAACTTTGTACCATGAAATCAGTCAATTATCTATGTGAGGTCTGAGGTTGTTACTGCAGTAACTATGAAGACTGCTGTGTTTTGGGGATGTGATGGTATGTAGTTCGGTAAATGTTTACCATTGTTTCAGAGAAGCATCTGTGATACTACATGGCATCATATTTCAGGAGACAGTAATCTTTGATTAATTAGTTACCATATTATTTTGTCAAATGGTAATTATTATTTGTGTGTTTCTATTTACAGTGGGTGTTGCCAAAGCTGGCTGCCCATGGCTTTATGACACTTCTTCTACTGTTCCATGCTCACTGGATTCTTGCAGTTGCAAATCTTCCATTGGCACTTTGGCTTTCATATGAGTAGGTTCAGTTTAATATTTACTTCCTTATATCACATGTTTCTATCTCAGACTTGTGTCTAATAATATGGATGCATAAAAACTGTGTAATTCTAAAATAGTTTTGAACTCAGTCTGTCTAAATACGTGTACATGTACGTGAATTATGTCAGTTATTATGGTGGCCTGGGTTCGATCCCGGATGTGGTCAAGTGGGTTTTGTGGTGGACAAAGTGGTGCTGGGGTGGATTTTCTCCGAGTACTTCGGTTTCCACTGCCAATCTTCTTCTTCTTCTTCATCATCATCATCATCATCATCATCATCATGGGCATGACAGCCCTTTGTGAGCCCTGGCCTTCCTCAGGATTGCTTGCCATTCTTCTCCATTCGATGCTACATTCCTCCAGTTCTTTACACCCAAAATTCTTATGTCCTGCCACACACATTCATCCCATCTTAATCTTGGTCTTCCCACTCTCCTATTTCCTTCTGGTTTAGTATTAAGTATTTTCTGCCAATCTTCATTCAGCCAAATTCTCCATCATCATAATCACCTGGGGCAGGCTACATAGGCCAATTAGTGGCCGCCGTGCCGAGTGGACCCAGTCGGACTACACCCCCCACTAAGCAAATTTAAAAAAAAAAAAGAATTAAAATGTTAGTAATTATTCACGTACAGATAGTGACATGGTTGAACGTTAATGGATGCTGGTAGCAAGATGGAACACATATTTAATTATACGCCACAGCAAGGAGGGAGTATTTTTGAACAAAACATACCAAAACAAAATTCACTTGACAGTTTTCAGTATAGTCCAGAATACCAAAAATTATCAGTTGTCATCAAGTGATTTTTGAGATTATGTATTCAGTTTGTGCAGTTGATGCAAAGAATTCATAATGAAATGTATTGAAAGTGCTTCCTAATTACAGATTCTTTAAGTGGCAGTACAAATATTGGTAAAAGGCAGTGCCATGCAATGTCTGAGTTGCTGTTAAGTTGGTACCAGTGCTAGCGATCATCATCACTGGTTTATGTGGTCACATGATAAATCAAAAGAAATGAGATATTACTACATACTTACATTTTTAACCTACTTCCTTTACTTTGAAAAAATAAAAGGAGGCTTATAAGATCATCTTGCTGTTTGTGTGTCTGTGCCCTTCCTCCCCCAAAGAGGCTAGAATACTGGAGGCATAAAAGACAGCTGTTGCTAGGCAGTTGCTCAGTAAACACATTCCTGCTGCAACAAATACATAACAATAGAAGGGTTGTTGAACAAGGTGTATTCTGTGTGGTCAGGTGCCATGTCATATTGCTCCCCCCCTAAGGCTGATCAGCAATTTTAGAGGTTGTAATGTTGGTATTAGTGATAGGTGGTATTTATGAAGTATGCCGTTGAGATGGGATAGGGTGCCATGATATATGTATCCAGGTTTCATAAAAATTAGTTCAGGCATTCAAAAGTTGTTAATGGGAAGGTACACATACAGACACACAGACAGCAAGGTGAACTCATAAGCCTACTTTTATTTTTTTTTTAATGAGGGAATTACGCTAAAAGTTGCATGTGATATATAAAATTATGATGGTATGAGGGGATGTGGTATATCAAGCGTAAGCCTCTGATTTATGAAGAAAGGGGGATACATCACTTCCAACCATCCTGACAGGGTCCTGGAGAGATGAGGGACCATTGCTTCAGTGATTTTCTGCTTAATTTCCAGGTCAAATGATTGTCTTAATGGTTCAGCACCATCAAAATGCAGCAAGGGACATGTCTTTTTCTCTCTTTGCTAATGTTGGAAATGGGTACAGCAATATATGCATGGGACACTGATCACCGTTCAGCACGTGTTGAGTCCACTTTTCGCAGATCATCCACTTCACCAGATGTTCATTCAAGATGTAAAATTACCTTGCTACTGAGATTCACACGTCTACAGTTGCTATACATGAAATTGTGTGTATGCCTTTGAGCATTTTATGCACATTCTCCATGTGCACTTCATCGATTCAGCTGTTGGTATACCACTGCAGGAGGGGTATCCTCTAGATCTCATGCCCAACAACACATGGAACTCGATCCAATACAAATGTATAGGTTTAATATTTGTATATCCTTGGGCTGGTTTATTTAGTTTGTAGCAGTGCACAGTGTCACTGTTGAATTGCAAAACACTACTATATATGAATTTGGCAGTGCAGGATACCTCAGGCTGTGAGAAGAATGTGTACATTTGTGTATATTAAACTATTCAACAGGTCATGATTGGTCTGATATATATATATATTTATTTTCTTAGTCATTTAGTGAGACTTTCTCCACTGCACAGGTTATACATAGCCTTGAATGGGGATATGATTGTGAATGGTGAATTGGAATATGTAAGTGATAGTAGCCATCTTTAAGAAACAATTTTAGTAACCTCTGAAGGAAAAGATAAGATACTAGCATTCCCATGCAGAAAAATCTGCACCAATTTGGAAACTACTTTTGTTGTTTGTGGTGGTCATTTGTATTATACGAAGGGGGACCCAAAAATAACCGGAAACGACCTGTTGCGCGCGCATGCTTTGTAGTTACGAGTTGTGCTGCTAGGTGGTGTTAGCTGGGGGTCTCCCACGACTGTTAGTGAGCTGGCGTCAGTCTGAGTTAAGTGGTTTGTCTGTGGTGCTCTGTTGTGTGTGTTCCTGTTTCAACCCTTTGGCGATTATGAGATGGCCGACCAGAAGGAACAAAGAGTGTGCGTGAAATTTTGCTTTCTGTTAGGGAAAACTGCACTTCACCCTTCAAGTCGCGGCAAACATTCACGCGGTTTTCTCTTTGGTCATCTCCGAGCAAGCGAGGAACAAAT